TTTTAGGTAAAGTTTTCCGAAAATTAGGTAACATTTTATAATTAAATTTTCTGTCCCTGATGGAATATCAGCTGTGAAAGATGAACAAAAACATACAGCTCATTGCGCTTTGTTCAACAAACATACCTCCAAGTCAAAAACTAAACATACCTAGCAGGGTTGCATAGAGAATGTGACATAAATTGATTAATTGGCAATTAATAATTTAAATTTTTGCATGATAAATTGTGTAACACTTAAGGTCTAAATTGGTGAAAAGGTCCTTAATTGCCAATAAAGTGCCTGTTTGAGCATAGTCTTAGAGTTACTGCAGCAATAAAATGATTCTTAGATCGTGATTTCTGTTAGGTCTGGGCAAACCTTGAAAGGTTTGCCAGTAAGTGTCTTGAACCAGAGGACCCTTTCGAGGGTGCGAAACGAAAAAAATCCCATTCGGCGTTAGGCAAAGGTTTCCAATTAACGTGGTTTCATGGTCATGGTTTCACAATATAAGCCACAAACATCACAAACATTGGATGTTAAAAAGCCAGCTCAACAAAAACACCACAGCACCACAACACAACACAATAGACCAAACCACGACATACCATGCAAGAGACACAACGGCATCAGTACTCACACGCCGGTGCCAACAACTTCTGGTTCTCCCAACAATCTCCACGGTGTGTCAGACAAGGATATTCCGTCAGCACACGTAATCTCAACTTTTGTCACTCTCTTCTGAATTTCTTCTATGCACATCTTTAAATTTGCAGTTTCTGCAGCTAACTCACCAGTTTTCTGCATTACCCTTTCCTCGGATTTTTTCATTACATCAGTCAACTCTGCGACAACGGTGGTTCTCAGCTCGTCAATTTTTCGCTCAACTTGCTTCACTGCTAGGAGTCTAACCTTCTTCCCTACAAAATCCTCTGCGACCTTGTTTATCACCTGGACGAAGGAGGTCAGACCACCGCTGGGTATTCACGTCGATGGCGAAACAATACTGACGGCGAATAACCCAAAAACATTCGGAATCACCTTCGACAGTCTGCTCTCCTTCTCGGCGCACACAACCGCAATTGTCTACAGAGTACAGAGCCGCAACAATGTCCTCAAGTCTCAGGCCGGCAGCACTTGGGGCAAAAACAAAGAAACATACAAGGCAATTGGTCGGCCGGTTCTAAATTATGCAGCACCCGTGTGGTCGCCGGGGACTAGCAGGACTTAGTGGATGAAGCCACAAAGCTGCCAGAACACGGCATTTCGGACAGCAATGGGATACATTCTGATGTCG